TCCATATGTATACAGTGCCCACAGATGTCCGTGCTCCATATGTATACAGTGCCCACAGATGTCTGTGTTCCATATGTATACAGTGCCCACAGATGTCCATGCTCCATATGTATACAGTGCCCACAGAGGCCAGAAGGGATCTGGTCCCTGGAACCAGAGTTACAAATGGATGAGTCACTGTTTGGGCACTGGGAATCAATCCAGTCTCTGGAGGAGCAGCAAGTCCTGTTGACCCCTGAGCCATCTCTCCAGCCCTGGTGGGAGGTGTTCATTGCTTGTAAGCCCCTCACCTAGTGCAGCTCTATTCAGATGTTCTGCTTCCTGATTTGGTCTGGGTAGTTTGTGTGTTTCTAGAATTTTGTCCCTTTCTTATACAATATCAAATGTGCTGATGTATAACTATTCACAATAATCTCTCCTACGGTGTTTCATTTTATCTGTTGAAATGTCTTTTTCTTTTATGATTAATTAGTTAAATTAAATTGTTGAATACACCCCCTTTTCTCTGTATCTCACTATCACCTCTCTCTGTGATCGGTCTGTTGGGGATGGGTGGCCAAGCTTAAGCTGTTAAAACAACCCAGGCTTGGACCCTGAGGTCCTCAGTGTCATTGGTACGTTGGCTCTCATAAGCAGCAACAGGAAACAGACTGACAAGAGAAAGCCATTCCTCCCCTTCAGCCTGAAGTCTCACTCTAATGCTCTTAGGAGACAGATCCTAAAAAAACAAAACAAAACAAAAACAAAAACAAAAACAAAAACAAAAAAAAAACAAACAGAGAAAGTCCACACAGTCCCTGCTCCAGAATCACAAAAGCCGATGGTAGCTTGGTGTGAAAGGGCAGCAGCTTAATAACAGGCATGCCATCTACCTTGTTAGATTTACTCAGACCTTATTCTCTTATTTATTATATGTGAAGTTCTGTGGGTGGAACTAAGAGTCTTTCATGTGCTAGAAAAGAGTTTTATCACTCCCCCCACCACCGCCATATTCTCATTTCTTTGAGGAAGAGGGTTACATATGTAGGTAATGCATCTGCATATGTATATGCATGTTTGAATGTATATATGCATATGAGTGTTTGTATCTGTGTGTGCGTGTGCGTGTGCATGTGTGTGTGTTTGTCTGTGTTTGCATGTGAAGGCCTGAGGTGGACACTGGGTGTGTTTCTTGGTTGTTCTCTACTTTATTTATTGAGGTAGAATCTCTCAGTATAACTAGGAGCTTACCAATTTGTCTAGTCTAGCTACCCAGCCTGTCCCCTGAGTCCCAGGATTACAGGCAGTGGCCAAACCTACCAGCTCTACATAGGTTCTGGGGATCAAATTTCAGTCCTTATGCTGTGTGGCAAGTGCTTTACCCTTCAGACTCTCTCCCCAACCCTCATCGGCTATTTCTAAGAAAATTTCCAAAGCCAGGCAGTGGTGGTGCACACATTTAATCTCAGCACTGAGGAGGCAGAGGCAGGTGGATCTTTGTGAGTTCCAGGCCAGCCCGGTCTACAGAGCGAGTTCCAGGACACCCAGAGCTGATACACAGAGAAACCCTGTGTCAAAAAACAAACCACAAACCACAACCAAAAACCAAACCAAAACAAAATAAAACAAAAAACAAACAAACAAACAAACAAACAAACAAAGGGAAAAAAAAACACGTTGTTCCGAATCCCCTGCTGTCGGGTTCAGTCTGGGGCTCTTTCTTTGCTTGCTGAGAGACTCTTTCTTATTTTCATCACATCTCCACAGGTTTTGTGTTCGTCAATTCATGTTTATGTATCTCTAAGGCAAGATCTGTATCTATATCGATTAATATTATATATTATATTGGTTGAGAATTAAGGATTGGCTTAGCTGAACACCCACCTATGCCTCCATATCTTTCGTGAGGTTCCAGCCAAGATGGCGGTTGCAAGTGGCCCCTCCCCTCAGCCTTTGCCCAGTGCCGGAGACCTGTTTTCAAGATGATACTCTCCTATGGCTGTCACAAGTTGTGGTTCTTGGCTGCATGTTAGTAAAAGGTGTCAGTCCCTCTTGATGATATGGACATCTACACAGGCGCATGAACATCTTCACAAGGGCACAACAGGCTTCTTCCAAAGCGAGCAATCGAGGACAAAGCCAGGGATGGGTGGGGGGAACTGCAGTTCTCTTTAAGACTGACCTGCACCCTTTAGCCCCTTCAAACTACCCTGGTTAGAAGCCCTACTCAAAAGAAGAGAGATTCAACTATAGAGAACTTCAAAGAATTTATGAACAGCTCTTTGCAGTATATTTTAATTAAGAATGGCTTCTA